GAGAGAACCAGGTTAACCAGGTCCTGGGTCGTGTGTGTGCGCGCGAGCACTGCTTTCATGGTTCCGGATCTGCATCATCAGATTCACACTCATCAGACACTTGGCTGTGGGGGCCTTTGCTGGGCCAGGAGTTCTTACACCTGGCCTGGAGGCGGGCGATGCCCAGAGCGCCCTCTAGAGAGATTTGCTGGTTACTTGCCCTCTCTCCCACTAGATTAGTATTCTCAGCCCTGACCCAACATTAGAATCACCTGGAAGCTTTCTAAAACACACCAGTGCCCAGCGTGCACCCCCTTTCTAGTTTGATTCAGCTGGCCTCGGGTAGAACCTAGCCTCTTTCGCCCTCCCCCCCCCAAACATCCCAGATGATCAGTAGCCAGGTAGCAATGTACTCAGCCATCTGTCAACTCCTGGAAGTTATCATCGTGGTGGCTTTTATTACCTGGAGGTTATTATCCTGGTGGGTTTTTTTCAAGTTCATAACCTAAGCACCTAGTGATGTGTTTGGTCCAGAGAATCTGAGCAGACTCCATTAACCAGATCATCAGCATCTAAAGGCTCCTGAGTCAGACTTCTCCCACTGTTTTTATCAAATAAACTTCTAACACTTGTGCTCACTGTCACTCCATCCACCCACACATACACTGCCCCATACTTACCTGTGAAATACTCCACTTCTTTCTCCAATTCTTGGAAAATCTCATCGGCTTCGGCTTTGCCAAACAGAATCGTGTAATCACAGTCCAGACCCTGGGCTCCGATGTGCCGCCAGCTGGACGGGGCCCAGGCGACTCCATTCCCGGGATCTTCTCTCCTGGGCCTTTTCCTGCTGTCTTCCTTGTTGCCTGCCAACTCGGCTGGGCCTTCTGCCCTCTGCTCTTGCTCCCTCTTTCCCAAAGTGCCCCCAATAGTCCGCTTTACCAGGAATCTGTCCATTCTGTCTCCACAAAATAAAGACTTGGGAGCCAGGGAGGGGGCACAGGGAGAGGTTGTTCAGGTAGATGCAAAGCTTCAAGGTCTATTTGTTCAGCGAAGTTTAGTAGCAAAATTCCTTTTAAAAGTTTAAGCCCATGTCCTAGGAAGAAAGTAGAAGTTAATGCTGGAAGTGCCCCTCAGGAGGGATCTGGTCCTGGGTCTCCTGGGGGGCCTTTGCATCAGAATCAACAGCTGTGCAAAAAAAAAAAAAAAACCCAAATGCCTGTCTCCCACCCCAGCAATTGGATTTTTAAAGAAACCCCCACCCCACCCCCAGTTGACATGTCAGGTAAACTTGGAAACTGCTACCCAAACCCTTACTTTACAGATGGCGAAACTGAAACCAGAGAAGGGAAAGGGTTTGCCCAAAGTCAGGCGAAAAGGCAGGGGCTTTGTTTACTTTTCACCCCCGGCTGAAGAAGGATCCGTGACTGAATAGTCCTTTTGCACCGGTATTAAAACTGGGTAAATAGAGCAATTTTCAAGTGGGTTTGGGTTTGATTCAAAATCTAAATGTAAACACGGTCCCACATACGCACCGATGAACTAACAGAAAATAAGACTCTGACATCTGCAGGGGGTCTGGTGGACAGGGCTCCCTTTAAAATCTCAGCATCTGCTCAGCTTTGACTCCCGCAAATATCCAAAGAGGCTGAAGGAAACAAACGCAGCCAGGCAGCACTGCTTCCGGGCTGCTTCGCGGGCCAGCTGGGAAATGCAGGCAGATTTGCAAATGGAGCGATGGGCGGCCTCCGAGCGCCACCTGCCGCCACGCTGGGCTCGCTGCAACACTTCCTCTTTTAAGGTCCCATCTGTTCAGTCATCACGGGTGGTTGGGGAGTTACTGGGTGTCACGTCTCCCTGAGAATTAACTTGGTGACCTGACAGGTAGCTGAGCCACCAGCATATCATCTCAGGTCGGAGCATAGGTCCTGTCGTCAAACTCCCTGGCTTCTATCTCCGCCTCCTCTATTCTAGCTATGTGATCTCGTGCAGGTCAGTAAACCGCTCTGGGCTTGAAGTACCCCATCTACACAGTGAGCAGCTACAAAACTTACACCTCAATGAGTACCGTGAGGGCTAAACGAGAATATTTGTGACAAGTGTGTGTGTGCTTCAAATACATGTCAAGTAGTATTATTATTCCTAATTTTTGTTTACTCTGTCACCCCGATGGAATGAAAGCTCTGAGATAGGGGACTTTGTTCTAAGTCTTCTTAGTGTACAACCCTGTGAATTTTGACAAATGTACCCAGTTGTGTGATCCCTGCTATCAAGATGCAAAAGCTCTATCACCCCACAAAATTCCCCCAAGCCTCTTAGCTATTAACACTTCTCCGGCAAGATACCCCGTATATTTTCCCCCTTATACTTTTGCTTTTTCCAGAATTTCGTGCAATGAAATTATTGTGTATACAGCCTTTGTGTCTGGCTTCTTTAATTTAGCATAATGCTTTTAGCATATAGCCATGCTGTTTGTATTTATCCCTTTTTATGGCTGAGTAGTATTCTATCACATGGATTTGGGTTATTTCAGGTGTTAGGCACTCACAAATAAATTCACTGTATCCACTCATCTACAAGCTTTTATGTGATTATAGATTTTCATTCACTTGAGAAAATACCTAGGAGTGGGGCTGCCAGGGCACACAGTAAGTGCATGTTTCACTTTCTACACAACTGAATTGTTTTCCGAAATGGCTGTAAGGACAAATGACTTTAAATTATGTTGTGTTCTTACACAAGCTCTTGTCCTAGGCGCTAGAACACAACAGTAACAAGGAGGATAAAGCCCCTGCCTCACCCAGGTTACATTTTGGAGGTGGAGTCCAAAATAGACAAGAGTAAATGGATGATTTTTAGTACAGACGTTGTAGAACGACCCACCAGAGCAGGGGAGGAAGGCCTTGGAGGAAGCGTCTGGGGCTGAGAAGTTTCCTAGGCAGGGAGACAACTGAGCAACTACTGAAGACATGTGGAGGGGCAGACAGAAGCAGCCAGTGTCGGCTGAACCCCAGACTGAGTCAAAGCCATGAAGCAGGGGCTTCCGCAGAGAGGACCGCAGCTGCAGCTGAGGGTCGGGCAAGAAGCTGCCGGAGGAAACCTGGACTAAGCTGTAGGATGTCATTTACTGTTCAAAGCAAATGACTGGGTAGGAAAGAGACTCACTGGGAGTGTAGGCGGGAGATGGAGAGCAACCCTTGAGAGGGGGTTTCACTTTGGGGTCAGGCACTACCGATGCTTTGGATGTGGGGAGGAAGGGTGGGAAAAAGAACCCTAGGAGGACGACTCGGGGTGCGGCGGTGAGCACGACCGCAGTTAAAGTCTTCCCCAAACCTCCCAGATTAGGCAAAATGTCCGACTGCCCTGATGTTAGCTGGACTTCAGTGAAACTGATAATGAAAACTGGATGGTATGATGCGACAAATACTACTGTAAGGCTAATTTCACTCCCACAACCTCCCACGTGGTTGGTATTTTAATCTTCCTTTTACAGCGGAGGTGGAGGAGCTAGCTCCCAGGTCTGAGGCGCGAACTAGACCCACCAGGTAAACACGATCGTACCCCGCCGGTCCCAAACGCTTCCCGGATCCACCTGGCGCCGGGGGCGTGGCAGGGAAGCCCCTATGCACATGCGCACTAGGCCTCTGCCGCCCCCTGCCCAGACCCCGCGTCGGAGCATGCGCGGGGCGTTTGGCGCCAATACCTGACCGGGCAGAGGCAGCCACCCTTGCGGGTCCAAGCGGCTCGTACCCGCTCCCTCCTCGGCACCGGGATGATCGGCCAGAAGACGCTCTACTCCTTCTTCTCCCCGAGCCCCGTCAGGAAGCGACGTTCCCGCAGCCCTGAGCCGGGGACCTGTGTGGCGCCGGTATCTGAGGAGAGCGGGGATGCGGCGGTGAGGCGCGGCGGGAACCGTTTGTGGGGCCGGGGTGAGGGGAGGGAGGCGGGAGAGAGCGGCGGGCTCCGGGCCCCGCAGGGGTGGCGGGACGCGCCGCAGTCCGGGTAAACGCGAGCACGGGCGGCGGGACAGCTTCCACGTGTTCAAAACAGCCGCCGCGGCGCCCCATCGGCGGCCATGCTGAGGCGTCGGCCAATGGGAAGGCGCCTCGGGCCCCGCGGCGCCAATCAGCGGGGGAAAGGGGCGGGGCTTCGGGGGGAGGATGTTTGCCGCGAAAAGGCCTCGTGGGGCCGCTGTGGCGCGGCCGGGGGCGGGGCGCTCGGTCCCCGACCTTCCTTCCCGCGAGCCCTGAGGCTCAACAGGCCCGCTCCCCGCCCGTTTTAGTGTGGAAGTTGGAGTCTGCTAGGCCCGGACTGAGGTTCTGCCAGGGGTTCCCCAGAGTCCGCTTTTGCGGAACCTGCCGCCGCCATGGGCCCGCTGCGCTACCCGCTGCTGCGCTGGGGCGGGAGGCTGAGGGCGTCCGCGGGAAGCCAGCTGCAGCTCGCGACCCGCCCCCGCGGCCACCCCTTGCAGGCCAGCCCGGCCAAGAGGCCCCGGGCCGCGCAGGAGGACCCCGGCACGCCGCCCACGTCGCCGCTCAGCCCCGAGCAGCTGGTCCGCATCCAGAGGAACAAGGCCGCCGCCCTGCTCAGGCTCGCCGCGCGCAACGTGCCGGTGGGGCTGGGCGAGAGCTGGAAGCAGCAGCTCAGCGGAGAGTTCGGGAAGCCGTACTTTGGCAAGGTAAGGGCGCCGAGCCCCTCTTTGTGTCGGAAACTCGGCAGGCCGAGCCCTCGTTTGCAGGCCGTGGCTTTCCTGCTCTCTTGCTTCCCGGGGGTGGGGCCTCGGGGCTTTAACCTCGCCCCCTTGGGTTGGTTAAACTCTACAGTAGGAAGACGTCGCGGCCCCCTTGTGCCTGCCTTGAGCCCGCTCGCAAGCGGGCTGCACTAGAAAGAGTGGCCTGCCGAGCCGTGGGAGAAACCAGGCGGAGCCGGGAGAAGCGGGAGGGAGGGGCTGGCGGCCGCCGGAAATCTGCCGGCCAATGGACCTTGACCCAGCGCCTATAAGGGGGGAAGGAATTGGAGGGCTGGAGCACCTGGTGGTTTTGTTGTTTTACATTTCAAAAGAAGGTGGCCAGAAAACCCGCGAACAGCTGGCTGGAACTCTCACTGACACTTCTGATGGGATTCTTTGACTTGCAAGTAGAGGTAGAATAATGTGATTAAAAGGCAGGACTCTTAGACCTGCTACTGAGTATCTGGTTTTACATCTGGTTTATCTTTTCAATCAGCTCATGGGGTTTATTGCAGAAGAAAGAAAGCACCACACGGTGTATCCACCCCCCCACCAAGTCTTCACCTGGACTCAGATGTGTGACATAAGAGATGTAAGTACAGGCTGGGGTGGGTTTTACTGGAGGCGCAGCAGAAGGGCAAACAGTATTTCTTAACTGGGGACACTGGAGTCCTTTCTTAGTGAGGGCTCTGGTCTGTAATTCAGGAATGAATAAAAATCGTTGTGAAGTTTGGCTGGATACATTTTAACCTATCTTTATTTTAAACAACTACCATGCACCTATCTTTATTTTAAACAACTACCATGCACTGTTTAGGCAGCTAAAAAGAAAGTTGTGCACACAGACCACGTGTTTCTGTTCCCATTTCCCATTTCTTGTATTCCATTCAGTCCTGCAACCTGTTACATACAGGCTTGGAGGGGATGGTGCGATGGGTTATGCAGCTGTTGAGTCTTTTCACTGTGTCTGCCCTCCTTGTCATTCATTATTCCTTCTGCCTGACCAATTGATGTTTTCAGGCTTGGCTTCTGGCCTGAACAGTTTGGATATCCTGTTACTAAATCCCTTTGCTTTGGTTATTCCATCCACCCGCTGCTGGGCATATCAGCTCCTGTACAGAAGGTAGTTGGTGGCTCACACTGTGTGAGGCCACATGGTACTTCCTGGCCTCCCTCCCATTCTCCCACCTCAGAGTTGGACAGAGGGCAGTGCCTCCTCCCTCTTTTGAAAACCATCCAGCTCCCTGAAGCCTGACCCCCACACCTTTGTGATCTGGTTTTCCTTTAAGTCCCTTGATGAGTTTAGCATCTGCTTACACTGGAGGATTTTACATTCATTCTTAGCCTTTTCCCTCTCCTGTTTTCTAACCTGAAGATAGGAATCCTACAATGTAATAAGCACCTGCTGAATCAAATAGAAATTATATAGTGAATAATCATATGTAGCAACCCTTGATTTTCATTTTAAAGCCAGCACTTTTTTTTTTTAAAGATTTATTTATTTATGCATATAAGAACTGGGTTATAGGCCAGAGATGCAGGGACAGTGAGAGGATTCACCAGAGAGACAGTGGGAAACAGAACAGGCAGATTTACTGAAATAAAGTCAGGAGAGATCTGCCTTGCCATTTGGGTCACCTTCCTCATTGGGGATAGAACTCGGGCTGCAGTGGCTGCAGAGAGCATAGTGCTGTGCTTTAATTTAACCCATTGTGCCACCAGGGAGGGCCCTTAAAGCCAGAACTTTGACTATAGCGCCTTATTTTTGATGTTAAGGAAAAAAAGAAACTTCTGTGGAAGACATCACAGCGGAGCTGCTGGTCAAGGATAAGCGTGTCTTAAAATTTCACACACATGCCAAATTACTTTTCAATGTATTGAAGCAATTCAAATCCCTAACCAGCAGCATAGACAGATGCCTGCTTCTCCTCAAGGCGGGCACTACAGGAGGAGAATGAGGTCAGGCCAAAGGGCCATGGGAGTAGGAACAGTGAAAAGCAATGAAAAGCAACGGGGCACTGTCATGCAACGTTGAGCCAGTTCTTTGGACCCATGCCGGCCCACCTCTTTATCATGCTCATGCTTCTGTCTACAGTGCTCCTTCTTAGGTCTTTCTTTCATATATGCTGTCCTTCAAAATCCAGCTTCAGGGGCAGCTGTTCAGCCACAGGTGCTCATACCACCTACAGCATACTGTTCACTGTGAAGCAACCTGTCCCAACAGGGAAGCTTTGGGCTCAGGGTCACACTCTCCGGTCCTGGACAAGCCTCCATATGAGCCTCTGCTCATTTGCCAAGAAGTCTCACTGGGCCATCTGTCCTCAGAAGTTTGATGTCCCTTTCTCAGATTACTGGCAAATTCAAAGCAGAACATGCTATTCAAATAGGGCACAAAACAGTACTGAGTTTAATAGGCATCTCCTCCTGTAGTGCCCGCCTTGAGGAGAAGCAGGCATCTGTCTATGCTGCTGGTTAAGGATTTGAATTGCTTCAATACATTGAAAAGTAATTTGGCATGTGTGTGAAAATTTAAGACACGCTTATCCTTGACTAGCAGCTCCGCTGTGATGTCTTCCACAGAAGTAAAAACAACCACATACAAGAGCATATGAAATAAGATTTATATCTTTTTTTTTTGTACTGGGAAACAAGCTGACTGCCCATCAATATTGGAGCTGGAGTAAGAGGTGTGAGGGATTCCCAAATATATACCATGAAAAACAAAAGCAGGGTGATGAATATAAAGGCCCCCCCCCCCAAATGTATAGGTATTAAAATGGTTGGACCTGGATGGAATGGGTGACTGGGAGGTGATTAACCAGCCACTTTGTGTACTACTGGGTGGCAGCACTTGTTACAAGGGCTCATTTACTTCTGGAATTTGGAGAATGAAAAGCCAAATTGGCCCCAACCTGTTGGAGGCACCTGTGCTAAGCATTAGGGTAGTGCCACAGGTTGCTTGAGTGAAGGCTAATTACAGACGGTGCCTGAATCACTGCCTTGCTGGGGCCGCCCTTCCCAAGTCTCTTGTATAGGTTATCAGGGATAGGGTAAGCCAGGTGTTCATTTAAACGGCCTACACACAGAATTGTTTAATTTCTTGCCACCTGGTATTGACAGGTAAAAGTTGTCATCTTGGGACAGGATCCCTATCACGGACCCAGTCAAGCTCATGGGCTTTGCTTCAGTGTTCAGAGACCAGTTCCACCTCCACCCAGGTATGATTGCTTTCCAGATGGCTCAGGGCCGTTTGTAGTTACTTTTAGATGTAGACTTTACAGATCATAAGTGCAACTTGGGGGGACTTTCTCTAGCTTCTGGAGCAAGATTCTCAGTCTTGGCACAGTAAATATTTGGGATTGGGTCTTTGTTGGGGAAAGGGCTTATCCTGTGCACTGTAGGCAGGGGCCAGGGATGCTGGCCCCTGCCCACTCCATTCCAATAGCTGTGTCCACCCCCCAGCCCCCATGACAGTGATACACACTGATAGAAGTTAGCAGGAGGGGGGCAAAAATAACCCCGACCCTGCCTCTGCCCCCCACCCCCACCCCTACCCCACACCACCACCACCAAAGTCCAGGTCTTGGGCAGGTTTACCGGTGGGGAAGAACATGAGGCGTGCCTTCAGGCCATCCTTACCTGCTGTGGTTGGAGATTATTCCCTCAGAATTGTGCTTTAAATTGTTTTTGTTTTATTCTCCTTGTTTGTTTTCAGTTTGGAAAACATTTATAAAGAACTGTCTACAGACATAGATGGTTTTGTTCATCCTGGTCACGGAGATTTATCTGGGTGGGCCAAGCAAGGTAAATCTGCGTAGTTGGATACATTTCGGGTGGGTTTCAACAGTCTTGCCTTTTCCAGCCCATATCTGTAAAAGATGGTCATGAAGAATTAGGGAGCTCCAATAACGGTGCTAGATTTATGTGAGTCAGAACACATCTGGTTTTTTATCCTGCAGCCTGTGCTTTTGCTCAAGATTCAGTCATAATCTAGATGAGAGAAGCTTATTCATTATTACTATCCTCCATTCATGGAGCTCCAGACCATTCAGATGGTGGCCTCATTTCAACACTCAAGAAGCCTATGTGTTTAAATCTATCTGCAGAACTGCTGCCCTGCATCCCTGCCACAAGTAAACTGTACCTAGGGGAGGGGAACAGTGTTTACTTTTCAGTTTCTTCCTGTCAGGTTTTGTCAGACATTTTTAGCGTCCTTTTTTTGTTTGTTTGTTTTCTGAGGGTATTTAATATCATAACAAAAAATCTTTCTGATTGGGTATAAGACATGCCGCTGTTGTCATTCTAGAACATGCTAAAAGGGCAGAGGTAAACATAAGATGCCCTCTAGTTTCACCAGAGGTGGAACCGCTGGTCATGTTGTAAGGCTTTCTTTTCTGACCTAATTTCAGAAGCCTACACCGGTATGGTTTCGTCACATGGTGACCCCCCAGCTGCTGAGTGTTTGGACTGACTTCCACTTACCTTTAACCTGTTTCTTCGGTGTGTGTTCATAGGTGTTCTCCTACTCAACGCTGTCCTCACCGTCCGGGCACATCAAGCCAATTCTCATAAGGAAAGAGGCTGGGAACAGTTCACGGATGCAGTTGTGTCCTGGCTGAATCAGAACTCCAGTGGCCTTGTCTTCCTGCTCTGGGGCTCATATGCTCAGAAGAAGGGCAGTGCCATCGATAGGGTAGGTGTGTCTTTTGACACTTGGAGTCAGTTTAGAGAATTTTACAAATTTTGCTTTGTGGTCCTGGAAAATCCTTTTCCTTGAGACTACTACAATTAAGGTTAAGATTCCCGTTGAAAATTGAACAAAATTCATGGTCTTCCCTGGTGGCGCAGCAAGTTAAAGCCCAGCGCTGCAGGCTAGCTGCAGCCGCTTCAGTGCGAGTTGGATCCCAGGCCCCAGATGATCCACATGGCACAGCAGACCTCTCCTGTCTCACCTGCTGCTCCCCTCAGTAGTGTACTTCATCAGCCTGCCTGTTCTGCTCCCCACTCTGTCTCTGGTGAATCTTCTTATTCTCTGCGCCTCTGGCCTAGACCCCAGTTCTGTATGATGAACAAATAAATCTTTAAAAAAAGAAATTGAACAAAATTCAGACAAATTACAAGAATGGCTAGCTGTATGAGAAAGCAGCTGTCCATTTTCTGATTTCATGCTGTTAAAAAGGGGAGATAAGCTTGCCCCACTTAGAAAGATACACAGGCCCTAGATACCATTCATTTAGCAAACTGCAACAAGTGATGAATGTCTTACGAGAAATTTGAGGGTATATAGAAAGCATGAAATATTTCATTTAATTACAAATGTAATATGCCCTTGACAGAATGCTTGGGCTCTGCAAGTCTGTGTCCAACACCCCCAAGCCAGTCCCTCACCTTCAAAGCTGCCCTCCCTGCATCCTCCCTGCATCCTCCCCAACTATCTCCTCCCTCCTCCATTCATACGCACCTGCATAGCAGTTGCTTTGTGAAAGACCAAATCTTGTCACCTTGCTTCCTAAAAAATCCCAGCTCTCTTCTTCACAGTCAAATGCTGCCACTCTGGGGTGAGCCACTGTCCTCTCTCTCTGGTTGACAGGGACAGGTTAGAGATGGTGATGGCCTGATGAAGAATGGGGTAAAGTGAGGTGGTGGTCCAGGGGATGGACTCCAGAGGAAACCCATCAGTAAGCAGAAATGAAAGAATAGTCCAAGGTGGGGCTGGCAGGTTCTTGGGTATCAGCAAGAGGTAACTAGTGATCAGAAACGCAAGTATGTGAGGCCCTCACCTGACTCATTGTACTCAGTTAAGCACATTGCATGCAGACTGTGGTTTATATTCACAGAGACTACAAAACTAGGCACATAACAGGTCCCTTTTTCTTTTCTTTAAAGATTTATCTATTTATGCATACAAGAACTGGGGTATAGGCCAGAGGTGTGGGGGAGTAAGATCTTGGACAGTGGGGAGCAAGACAGATTGACTGAAACACACTGCTGAGGGGAGCAGCAGGTGAGAGGAGAGGTCTGCTGCACCATGTGGGTCAGCTTCCTGGCTGGGGATTGAACTTGTGCTGCAGTGGCTGGGGACAGCTTCATAGTGCTGCACTTTAATCCCCTGAGCTACCAGGGAGGGTCCACAGACCCCTTTTGTACTGAAGCTCATGGAGCTGAAGTTCCTTGCCCAAAGCTGCAGTGATAGTGGAGATGGGATAAGAAACTGCCCCAGGCTGGCCTCCAGGAGTGTGAGGCCTCCAAGCCAGAGATGCTGTTCAGTTCTGCAGACTTGACTCACTCTGTTAAATAGAGTTGTCTTCATTTTTTCAACTTGGTATTTTTCCTTATGGTAGCAGATTTACTTGTTTAAAAATAAGATGTAACGTCTGTGCTGAGATGCCTCTTTTTTGCACAGGCAAGCAAATAGCACTGAAATGTATAGGTCAGATTCAGCTTTCTCTGTAGTGATTCTGTGTAAACGGACAAGGAGAAATCCAGTGTTTCCCAAAGAAGAGGAAAATAGAAACAAAGTCTGGGGTGAATGCACAAATGCAAAGAACTAAGATGCTTGTGTGGAGTGATGGCTATACTCAGTGTTTCATAGCTCTGCTCAGCATGTTCGTAATCTGTATCATTCTAAACATGGTTTGGTCTGAAGTCAACAACCATTATAGTAGATTGATGGTTAACAAGCCACCTGAGCACAAGATCTGGGTTTGCATAGGTACATCTGGGTGATGCATAAGTACATTAGTCCCAACATTTCTTCAGTGAAATCTCCTTCCCTTATCCATCCCTCCTTAAACTTGCTCCTCTGTGCTACTGTCTACCCAGTGGTCCACCCAGATAGCAAATGTCATTCTGCTCCTCCCCTTTATCCTTCCTACCTTGTTCATGCTCCTACTGCCAGTTGCTCATCTGTAGTCTTCGCTCAGACCCATCCCTGCCTGGCTGCTTTGGCCTGCTTCATTCCATCTCATCTGGCTTCAAGTGGCATCCTCCCTCGAAGGCTGTGGCTAGCTAAGGCTAACATGCTCGGACTTGGGGGGCCACAGTTCCCTCCACCCTTAGCTCCAGACTGACAGAACCACCCAGATGCTGCCCCTGCCTGCCTTTGAACATCCGCTTACTCTGTGAGGAGTAGAGGCCCTTTCCTCCTTCATGGGCAGCTGACTTCCTTCAGAGCTCAGCACAGTTCACATCCCCAGGGCCAGTGCTGCCTGCCAGATTGCCCTTTCTCATACATCGCAGTATGTGCAGCCATTGATGGTTCTTGAACTATAACTTCACAAGTGAGGCTCTGAGGCGAATTCCAGTGTCAGAGTCCCCGATCACAGATTATTGGGAGGCAGAACAGGCAGGGTCTCAAGGTGGGAATAACGTCAGTGAGCGGATATTCCAAAAATTGGGGAGTAAAGGGGAGCGGGAGTGAGGAAGACACGGGAGTCGGAGTTGGGTGCAAATCTTCCTGCTCTGCCTTCAGCAGAGGTTTTATTTTATACACTTCAAGCAGGCAGAGGGATGGCATTAGCATATGAAATGGGCTGAGAACATACTCACCTTTTTTCTAAGAATAGTCTGGGGTTGTTTTGACCTTTACTTGAGATTATAACATTCTAAAATCAATCAAGGTTAAAAACAGGTACATAGATGCACAAAGTTTAAGACTGATATTACCATAGTGAAGATTAACTAAAAATTAAGTCCCTTAAACCTTATCTACTACTTAATGGGTTTTTTTTTTTTTTTTTTTTTTCATTTGAGACATCCTGGGAGGCAGGAAGAGGAGATTTCTTGCAAATCAAATTATGGAAAAATCCTTTGAAGAAACTTGTTAGAAAGTTTTAAGTGAGTTTCCTAGAGGTCTAGACAGTAGAAAGTGTAATTAGCTCTGAATAGGAGACATAGGTGAATTTCCTTATCTAAAGACTAGATAGTAGAATCCTGAAAGACTAGCCAGAAGACTTGTGTGAATTCCTTTGAAGTGTAACAGGTAGAAAACCTGATGCTCTAAAACAGGCAACCTGGATGAATTTCCACATCTAAAGGCCAGACAGTAGAAAGTTTTGAGTAATTCTTTAGAAGCTGAATAGAAGGCTAGGTGAGATAGTAGAGTGATAAGATTTGGGTTTTCCTCCATCCTGCAGTGAGAGAGACTTTGCAGAAATAGCCCTTTTGCTTTTATTGATCAGCCAGTTGTCAAGTCACTTTTGACTTGAGAGGAATTTCTCACCGAGGTACAGTGCTGCTTGTCAGGGCCCGGTAGCGCCTTACGCGGCTGAGGCAATCCAATTGTAATCTGAAAGTTGCTCAGAATATTTTGATGTTATGATTATACAAAAAAGGAGGTCGTAACATAAGTTAGCAGTGGAAAGTCTGATTTTTCAGAGCATTTCCCCTCCACCCGTACCGTGTCTGTCGACAGAGATTGCATAGCTTGTGTCATTCCAGTTTCCTGATGACAAAAGAAGTGCAGCTTGGTGAGGTTCAGCAACTTCCCCTTAGAAGGGCAACACAGCCACTAAGTGGCAGGGTCAGGACTCGAACTCAGGTACTCTGACTCCAGACTATGATTTTCACTGTGCTGGGTGGGCTGCCTGGCTTCAATCAGGGTCCCTCCTGGACTGAACCCCTTGAAGGCAGGGATGTTTTGAAAAATAGATTTGTTAGGTGGTATCTATAGCTCCAGTGCTTTTCATTGCTGTGTTCTCTTTCAGAAGCGGCACCACGTGCTGCAGACAGCTCACCCCTCCCCGTTGTCAGTGTACAGGGGGTTCTTTGGGTGCAGACATTTCTCTAAAACCAATGAGCTGCTGCAGAAGTCTGGCAAGAAGCCCATCAACTGGAAGGATCTGTGACCCTGAACCGAGGTGGGGCCTCCACTGGCGTCAGAGTGTTTGCAGTTATGAAGTTGAGTTGAAAAGATAATTTCCCTGATAATCGTTAAGCACTCTGTAGAAAGAGAAAGTGTCAGTTCCGCAGCTATGAGCCAGGCCGCAAGGAGCCGCAGCTTCAGCCAGCCAGAAAGATGGCAGCACGCCGCCGTGGCTGCAGTGTGGCTTTGGCTTAAACAAGCCGTCACTCAAGCCTCAGGAAGGAGGGGGTCAGACACTTCTCCACTCTGTTAGCCTGCTTGATGGCAAAGTAGGGTGCGGGGATCCCCTTTTGGTGCCTATTGCTACGCGTTTTTACCTGTTAGGTCAGACTTAGATTATAAAGTGATAAGTTTTTTTATTTAGAAAGGCCTCCCTTGGCCTTCCACACAGCCACGGGCCTCCTTGAAAGAAGCATCTTTTTTGCAAGTTCCAAAACTAGCCCTGAGATTGGGGATCAGCTACCTGGTTGTAATAGAGAAGAACGTGCCCAGGGAATGATCCTCAAGGATGAAGAGGCAGAGGCAAGCTGGTTATTGCTCATGCCTTACTCTGAATGTTTCTAGGAATAAGCTGTGAAAGTTGAACAAGAAGAAAGGGGTTTGTGGGGACTTTTGTTTTGTTTTGTTTTTTTTAAGAAGAAATGTTTTCTCCTAGGTGTATCCTGATTTGGGGTTTTTAAGGCAGTATTGACTGCCTGCCAAATGCTGTTTTATAGACTGGAACACTGGAGAATTTTTTCCTTTATAATGTGTATATATTTGTTTAATCCCTTGTTTAAGAGACAATCTTTGTTCTGTAGCGACATCCTAGATCCTGTTAAAGATAGTTTTTGCTCTTAGCTGGGTGAGAGTTTAAACCTATCTGAATCTGGTAATAAAGATTGTTGAAGTTTGACTTTGTGCCAAGTGCTCTTCCTGCTTCCTCTCCCTGCCCTTGGTGTCTGCAGAAGTGCTTGGCTGCCCTGGGGCCTAGGTGACTCCTGGGGCAGGGGTTGCCTGGTAAGCACTGTGTGAGAAAGGGCCAGCCCCCAGGTCTTCCCACCCTTTCCCTCTGATGGCGCCACCTACCCTCTACCTTGGTGAGCCTGAGCCTGGTTCGCTGGGAGAGGTACCTGCAGGGCACACCGGGCGGCTCTGATTCCCAGAGGCTACAGGGAGTCTAGGTGGGGGCAAGGTCTGCTGAGACCCTCAAGGGGCCTCTTTGGACTAGGAAGCACTTATCAGGGCATTTCCGTGTGTCCTTTGTGGCCGTGTGTCCTACCTGCCAACCCCTGTTTTTAACTGCCAGTGTTTTCCGGCTACATGTAGGGCAAGGACACTGGGCAGACAGGTGCCCAGCGGCCAGGCTCTTGGCTGCAGCCCTGGGGTGGACCACCAAGAAGAAAGCCTGTGGCTTGCGATGCTGCTTCTCCGGGCACTGAAGTTCTTAGGTTTGAAAGGGGGTCACGCTGTGCCATGAGCAGGGGCTCTCACAAAGGGAAGGTGCAGAACCAGAATCTCTCCTCAGTTGCCCTCGGGTGAGCTTGGGCAGAATGGACACATCCTAAGGAGACATGGAAATGTCCGACAGGCTTTGCCTCTTCTAGCAAACGGCCCAGAGTTCCCTTCAAGAATGCCAAAAGCAAACGAATGTGTGTCTTTGGGGTCCTATACTGAACTTCAGAAGTGCAGAGAACACAGAACAGCATCAAACTGCCCGCAAGAAAGAAGCAAACTTAATCGCCCAATTTGGAAGGGGCCCTTGGTTTCTTGGTTATGTGTTCTTCACACAGGTTTTTCATGATTGCAGCCTTAACCTTCTAAAGCCCCAAAGAGTAAATATTTCAGGCTGTGCCATCATTCTGTCACAGGAACGATTCAGCTCTTCAGTGCAGAGGAAGCAGCCACATGCACAATGTAAATGAGCAGAGTGGGTGTTCAGTAAAGCTGGACTGAAGCTGGAACTTAGTAAGAATGTCTTGTCGTGAAATCTGGGATTTTTTTTTTGCAAGCTTTTAACATGTGAAGACTACTCTCAGCTTGGGAGCCACTATTTGGACCCCCTTCTAGGTGGTTCTACCTGGAAGTCAACCATGACTGTCCGGGCAGCTCTCCATGTGGAAACCTGTGAGACTCCAGCCAAAAAGAGTTCCTGTCTCCTCCCTCGTCAGGTAGGGAGGGCATCTGCTGAGGGCTTTCGGAAATGGTAACACAAGGAAGTCAGTTATGCAAAATGAGCTGGGGACCCTGACTTGTTAAATAATTAATCACGTGAACGGCACTATCTGGTTTTGACCTGAATCCCGTGGGGCAAGGTCAGTCTGGCAGGCTGTTAGCGTACTGCCACTAGACTGAATCCTCTTAAAAGTTGCTTTCTGCTGTGGTTTGCTGGTGGTGTCCTAGTATCAAAAGTCTTAGGGTTTGGAGCTGAAGAAGCAAGCTTTGTGTGGTATGTGCACGGCAGTGCCTTTTTGTCCTTGTCAAACTGTAGCGATGGGCACGGAAACACGGGCTCTGGGCCACTTTGGAGGGTCCTGGCGTGATGGCTGGTGGTAACTCAAGCTAAGAAGAGACTGGAACTTGCCCTGCCGGAGACAGCGTCTTCTCATTTAGAGTCCTGGCACTGAATCTGGGTCTCAGCCTGAAGTGACTATGGTGGTGATCTCAGCTGGAAGCAGCTTTTAAATTATTGAAGTATGTTTGGAAATGCAAATACTGGTGAGTAGGCCAGACCTGGAGGGCAGTACTTTGCATTCTTTGCTGCTCTGGAGTATTTCCTCTGTCCTCTTGTCCCTATTTGGGCTGGGGGAGGGGGGGAGGTGGGCCAAGCTTCCTTAACAAGTTAGCACTCCTTGACTTGGGCCACGTGGTCCCTTATGGGGGGGAAGGGAGGTTAGCTTGACATGGGTGACTTCCTCAATCTGTGTTTGAAGACAAGTACTTTTCTATTGGTGTTTGGTGGGGAAAGTTTATGATAGACTAGTTTGAAGCCTTCCTATTGACTGGCCTCTAGAAAATACTTGTAAAGAGAGTGTCAGAAACTAAGCCACCAGAAATTCTCTGTGTCTGTGTGTGTAAGGAGTAGGGGAGTGTGTGTGGTCTCTGAAAGCAGTCAAGTTCATGAGAAGATTCTATTAAATGCCTCTTCCCCCACAGCACTGTTAGGAGCTCAGTATACGCCGTTTCATGGGATTTTCCCAAACACATGATGAAGTTAGATGAGGAAACAACCACTTGCCCAAAACCACAGGAATCAGAATTTGAACCCATGAAAACCTGATCTCAAAGCCCAATCGTCTAGCCACTAGTTCACAGTCTGCCCGGATCAGAATTAATTGCAGCCATCAAGGAAGAGTTTTACAAAGTTTTCAGAAACAGGGAAGGATGGGTCTGTGCTGAAAGAGGCCCCATTCAAAGGATAATGGCACATGCTTCTCCAGGTGGAAGCTTCTCTGAGTCAGCACCTGCATGGGGCTGCAGCTTGGGTGTTGTGCTGAGCGCCCCACCTGGATTAGTTCATCCCCAACTCCTATAAAATATACTCACATATCTCAGGTTACCCAGCTGATGGCACAGCAGCCTGCAGAGGCCACCGGAGCAGGCAGTGAGCGATGGCCTGCGTACAAGTCCAGTGGGGAGATTTCCAAGAAGCAGATTACAACAAGCTGCCAGGTGTGGAGGCGCTGGCACGGGAAGGCTGCACCTGTCGCGGCTGCCATTTAAACCACTTCTGCACAGATTCGGTGCCCTGGCTGCTTTGTAAGGCACATCCTGGCTTACCAAAATGGGGCCACCGAGTTGCTGAAACCTTTACCTTTTGTCTGTGGGCACACAATGCCCTTTTGTGTGGCCTCTGCTTTCCTGCAGCCAGTGCCAGCTCCTGTTTGGGCCTGGAGGTGACCTTTGTCCTACATGCCTCCAGCCCTCAGTGGCAGAACACTCTGTAATGGCTGTGTGTGCTGTTCTCCGTGGTCTCCACTCAGCCCTAGCATGAGCCATCAGCCCAGAATGGGCATCACAAACAACTCCCCCCCCACACACAGTCACAAGAAGTAGGAAGCATTCTTGGAGCGGCATTTCCATTGACAGGGTTCTACCAAGTCATTCCGCGAAAGAAGCCTGGTAATCTGCTGATAACAATCAACTTAAACCATCCAAACCTAAACTGTGGGCTGGTTCCAGGAGCCATTTTCCCAAACCCCAGCCCCAGTTGCAGTTCATTTCTAGCATGTAAATAGAAGCGCCACGATGACTTTGTTCTTGACTTTGGTCTTGTCACTCAGGACAAGTGGACTTTAGACACCTCACGGCTTAGATATCTAAGGATTTTGAAATAAAGTGAAGATGGGGTTGCCTGTGCGAGGCAGAGCCCTTCCTGGCAGGACAGGGCCAGGCCAGTGGCTTGGTGCCGGCTTGATCCCTGCTGTTCTACAGAACCTGGAAGGTTAAGCGCTCTGGGGATATTTTTAAACAGCAGAGGCCAGTTAATCTAAAAGTGACATTTACAGCCACAGCAGGGAGCAGTTAGCCGGCTTAGATTCTGGTCTCTAGTAAACGAGGAACGTGGAAAATGGAACCCGGAGGACAAGGGGAAAACAAAGTGGAGAGCTAGTGGTAAGTGAGCCCGCCCCTGCTTGGGGTCAGTAGAAACAGTCCTAGTGAATGGGCATTTATGCAGAGTGAACCTTGGTGCTAGCTGGGTCTCACGAACAACCACTGCTAGTTGTTTGAGGGAAGCTGATCCAAAGGCTGGAAATAAAGGAGAAGGGCCTGTCTGTGTCTATAAATGGTTACGTGGCTAGGAATCCCTGTGTGGGTGCTGCCCTCTGACATAAAACAAGATGCTAGGTTGAATTTTTCAATGTTCTTAAAAGCAGTTCTGTGATTCCCTCCTCCAGACTCACGCCTTACAGAAAGACAGCTTACCTGACCACTCTCTCAGACTGCTGTTCAGGTTTTATAAATCTGACTCCAAGACTACGACCTTGAAGATGCAATTTTCAACTTTTATAAAGTGCATTACAACGTAGAAGTCAGTAACAGAAAGTAGGGGTGTGTCTCCCTGCACCAGCCGTTGTCAGTCCGCCTCCTTGAGGGAGCTGCTGGGCACAGCTTGGTGTGAGAACTCCCAGACCTTGCTCTGCAAGACCGTTTTATTCTGTGCATTCACCAGACACAGCTCTCCCATGATAGTCACTAGTGTTGTTTGGCTTTGAGGGACAATCCTGTCTTTATAGTGACTGACGTCCAGTGTGCCTACGACTAAAGGGGCTCCCCTGCACTTTCATTGAAAAGCAAAGGTATAGATGTTGTTTTATAGCTGGGCTTTTCCTCTCAGTTTCTTGTGAGATCTTTACAAAACATGATTTCTTCACTAACTTCTCTAAGTTTTACAAGGAAAGATCCTGTCAACCCTCAAGGCTGTGTCCTGGTGGAAATAGCCCCAATGCGGGCCTTTACTTGAGTCAGAGATATGTGATGTTTATACAAAGAAGGTTGTTTGCTCTTTCTCTGACCTGTAAACTCCTGATACTTGGATCAGGAGTTACCTGAGACAAATTAGAATATCAAATGAGGCATGTTTTCTCTATGAGGAATTATTTTAATCTTTTGAACTGGAGATTCTTCAGTTTTATCTTTGTGGAAACTTCAGGATAACTTATTGCAAAGCTCCTTCTGAACTTTGACTCAGAAACTCCTTACTTCAGAAGCGAGTACATCGGACCCGGAGAAGCTTAGAAGTTCAGGCCGAAATCTTGCAGTTTACAAAAATGTTTGTGCCCGTTTCACAATCTATCCTAATAGCTCTGGTGATAACACTACGTCTATTCCCTAGAGGAAGGCAGTTCCTGAAAGCAAGCTGTGCGCATTTGTGCAGTCCGTGGGTTCCTGGCACTGGACAATA